AGAATATGAGTTTAGAAAAAGGTTGGAACATAAATTCTATTGTCTTTTTTTCCAATATTCCTGTTAACAATGACAAACAAATTAATAAGACTTTCGGAGAGTACCTTACTTTTTATATCTATAACATCTCTGTGGAGTAAGAAGGTCATATATTGTCACCAGAATTTTACAATTAATTTCTTGTAGTTTAGGTGACAAACCTAGCAAGAGACAGCATGAGGGCTGTTTTTGGGTTTTAGAATTTAGCCCCGTGGTTTGAGCGTATGTCATATATTTCACATCACACTGAGACTCGCTCCCTCTGCAAAGTGCTCTGTAAAAACCTATAGCATAAATATTAAGAAAAATACATTAACTTCTATCATGGATATGTGTCAAACAATTTGTGACTTATTCAAAGTGACAAAGATATATGATACAACCCTACCCACAAGTATATTGAAAACAGCTACCTATCAAACTGTAATTTTTACCTGTTACACAATTGAAAAGGGAAATTGATCTGTAATTTGTTTTATTTGTACACTATTGACCTTATTCTGCTATAATGATCTACTTTTGTCATTGAAAAATAATTTTCAGGGTAAAAGGGCAATATTTCTATTAAGCACCATAGAAGTATACCATGTAGGATGATGCACATATTTGTGTGGCATGCAGTATTATATTTATTTAAAAGGCAATATCTACAAATTCTGATTGGCATTGGCAAATGGTCTCATATTTTGCAAAAATGAAACAAAAATGAATAATAAAAAATAAAACACGAATATGATTCTACACACAAAACAAGTAAATATAAAAGGAAGAGAAGGGGCCATGAGTCACATTTAACAAAAGCAAAATAAGAATTCCAAGAAAAGGTTTAACATAACAAAAAAAAGTAACAAAGAAGTCATTTTCTAAAATCTATGCTAAAATTATTTTATAACTTATGTGACTTTTCTACTCTGAAGGACTATATTTTAAGGATTCCTATAAAATATATTGAAAAAGTATAATAGAAAATAAGGTGATATGAACTGCATTAATCAAAACTTGTTAGCAAGACTTTTCATCGTTTCCAGGAGACACGTTGAAAGAACTTGGCTAGTTTAATATTGCTGAGTGACAGCATCCATTGTCCATTAGGTGAAACGCCTGTAATTTGCCAATATGGGAGTTTTCTGTCTTAAGAAAGTTTCAATTTAAATACAATAGAGAAGGAGTTGGGGATTTAGCTCAGTGGTTTTGCCGCCTGTTGTGCAAACACAAGGACCTGAGTTCAATCCCAGGTATGGGGGTGGGGTGGGGGGAGTGAATATTTACTTTATAAAAGGTTGGTCACAATACAAAGGAATTTGAGAAGGGTGCTTTAATGTAATGAGCCTCTCTAGGTAGGATACTGAGGTTACTGAAACTCAGACTCCATTCAACAAAGAATGTCACTATATTTGTTCTTAATTATTCACTTTAAACAAAATCTTTTTGAAATCATCTTGTTTTTGCCAATATAATTTTAGCTCCAAATTTAATAGAGCATTTCAGCATCTCTGAAATGCGATTTTGTGATATTTGGCTCAGCATCAATTCTGAGAAAAACCAAAAAATTTTAAAAGTAATCCACACTACAACATATAAGAAAAAAGTTGTGTCTTACATATAATTTTGATTGTTTTTAAAATGAATATAGATCATGTAGAGAATAAACACACATAATTACAATTTGAGTTTCAACAAGAATAAGATAATAAATGTATGTAATGTAATGAAAATGGGCTCACATTTACAAGCTGAAATACCTTTTAAACTAATGAAGTTTCTCAGATTTTTTGTGACAATAATAGAGCTAAATATATGTTTTAATAAATTTCTTATTCCACCATTATAACTTGTATGATTTTTGAAAAATTACTGATTTAAAATTTTTAATAATACGTGACTTTTTTTTCTATAAAGATTTTTAAATTTATTGTAGTCATAGTCATTAATTACCAGGTAGAACTACTAAAATACTTGACAATATCTTACTTTTATGGTTTGAGGTGAATTGGCAGATATTCAACATCTTCTGTAATTAGAGAAAATTCCAGAGGTGCTTAAAACCATTGTCTTTTTTTAATGCACAAGCTTGGCCATTTATTCTGATAGGTAGTATTAATTTCATATCAAGCTACTTTTGTGCTATGAATTCATATGTAATGTTTAATACAATTTTACAGAAAATAATCTTAAAAGATTATAGGTTCTGTACTATATTATTTTTACATGCCCAATACAATCAGAAATCTACAAATACACATTTACACAACAGTGAATAATAGGATTAAATATTGATCAGTATATATTAACAATGCTGGATTTTTTAAATAAACAAAACAAGAATCAAAAGTTTTACTTACATTTACTAGTTCAACTAAATGATTTTTTCTTTAAATCAGGGAATTTTACTGAGGATTAATTCCTTTTTATGTTAATGTTAGCTAATAATAATACCTTTTACTTATTTATCACTTTACAAGGTTTACAGAGTGTTTCCCATGCATAATGATTAGTTTTCAACAAGTTATAGCTTAGTATAGACAGCAACAACAAGTTAAATCCTTAAGAACACATACATTACAGCATACTTATTCTTTTTTTTTTTTTGGTACCGGGGATCAAACTCAGGCCCTTGTGCTTGCACAGCAGGTGGTGAAACCACTGAGCTAAGTCCCCGGCCCCTAGCACACTTATTCTTCAACATTACAGTAGATTCAAAAAGATATTTTAAATACCAATTTTCCCTATTGCATCTTGCAGTGAGTCCACGTACTAGATTTCAGATAGTTTCAAGAAATTAACATTTGTATTTTCCTCAAATAGACACGATCACATGTTTCTCTGTAATTAGTTTCAGAAATAGGAAATGTACATGGCATTATTTTAGGGAATAACCCAGTGTACTTAAAAGATTCCATGATATTATAGGGAAAGTTTCAAACTTAGAGACCAACTTTATTACACTAGCCACTTGTGCTGAGATATCTGAGATTACAAAAAGTTCAAGCCTTCCAGTGGTTTTCATTATTAAATGTGCTCACAACACAAACTAAAATGTCTAAATGAAAAAAAGAATTAATCACGATCAGTTATTATTTGCTCATCAGGTAGACTAAAACCAAATCCTCTGGTCTTCAGCTTGCAAGACTAGAAAGTTGGGTACAGAGCAGCTCAGATCTAGGGAGACCAGCACTGAGTGGACCCCTGGGTCTCCTTAAAGAATCCCTTGATCTCATGCACCCTCTTCACTGCTGCTGAGCAAAGCAAAGGAAAAATGTCCAGGCACCCTCCTGGGGCACAGTTGCAAAAGAACCCACACCCAGGTGAGCAAACCTACAGAGTAATGATTACACTCCACCTGCTAAACTCACAACTACTTGTTCTTTTTTTCTTTTGTTTTTTGGTACTGAGGATCAAACTCAGGACCTTGCGCTTGCGAGGCAGGTGGCGGAACCACTGAGCTAAATTCCCGGTCCATAACTACTTATTCTTCAGCACTAATGGAGAAATTACCTTCTCCAAGAAACATTCTCTTATCATCATTGCCTAATTCTACAGTAGGTGTTACTTCTAGATAAAACTGTGTGCTAAATTCAATTTTCACAGACAAAGAAAGCCACTGAAGTGATATGTTTACATTTCATCTTGAAAGCTACAATGCAAAGTTTCTGCAGTCACCATTATTATTTTATATTTATGTCCCCAGGACCAAGCTAGTACCTGATATGTAACAAGTGCTCAACCAATGTTTGTTGAATGCAAGTTGAATGAGAGTACCATGGCCACATCTGACACTTTTGCCACATTAATGGCATGGAGGTGGGAAGATAAGACTTAGTTGCTCAAAAACAAATAAAAAGAAAAAGGACCAATAGCATGTTAGCGAAAATGACATGCTACAGTCTCTTTAACTGGAATGAATGCAGTTATTTATACCATCAGAACACATCTTTGAACCTGCTACCATTGACTAAATAACACCTTTGTAGGTCTATACATGGAGACATATATCATTTATTATAATGAAAGTAATTTACTGTCATCAACACATATAACAAGAAATATGATTTAGAAAAAAATTTAAATAGTTGTTTTCCTGAGATTCCATATTCTACATGTAAAGTTTGCATGAAGCTTTCAAATCCTTGTATGTATTCTCTATTTAGTTAAAATACAATGGTATATTACCACAAAGCATTCAGACATTGTGTTATTTATAATAAAATAAGTGATACTTACTTGTACTACTATAATAGATAACAAATACCACTGAATTTAAAACATTGTTTTATATATGGATCACTCTACCTGAAATAAAATTTCATTTCCTTCTCTTGGAAAAATGATTTTCCAAAGCAAAGTTCAATTTAAAAAAATGTATAGGAAGAGACTTCTGTTGAAGCAAAAACATACATATGCCTCAATTAAAATAAAGGTATCATACATATACATTATAAAGTTTTCATGAAAGTAATGAACCTAAAAAGACTGAGAAATCTTTGCAAACTTCCTCATCATTTATGAAAGACATAAAGTATTAGTTTACTATCTGTTTCTTTTAACTTTATTCTATTTTTCTAAAACATCTTTAAAATAACATACTGGAATAAGGACTGGAGTATGTATTTTGGGTATATTTTATAGACAGTAGATATAATCAAGGCAATTATAATCAGAGAATGAAGCAGACACACTTGAATTTTTATCACAGTTGCACACAGTAAAACTTGATTAAGTAATCATAAGGGAAAGTGCTGCATACACAGAGCACAAAATACAGTCTAATAAATATTTCACATGCTTAAGTTACTTCAGTTTAGTTTTTACATGCAACTTCATGAAAGTCTCAGGTAAAGAAAGTATGTGTTTAATGGTTTCTTTTCCCAAAGATAAAACTATTCAAAAACTTTTGAAACCTCTTAATCACTACATACTTTTACAGAGAAGAAAAATGAGAAATTATTAATTTTTAAAATTACCCAGCAACTCCATTGCATCATCTTCATTATCAATATCTTCCTCTGTTACAGATGGGGTAGGGCTGTGGATGGACTCAAAGGAATCCTGAGAAAGCATTGCTGCCAGAAGTTTCTTGTGCTGCTGCTGCTGCTGTTTTAATCCTTTAGTCTTGGGCTCCATCTTTAAACTGAAGAAATGTTTAAATGTTAATTATCTGTGGTGAGTAAAGAAAATCTACAAAAAATTGTCATTCCATTTTGTTATGTAAATGTATGCACGTATTATTTAAGATATCCCCAAGGACACTGGAAATACCGGGTCTCTCTAAGACATCCTTTGATACCTCACCAAAAAATTCCCAAGTAAGTTGGAGGAGCTGACCTCACTTAAAAGAGGAATCCACTTACACCAACTGTTGTACACTAGGAATTAACATTCCATGTTAAAAGATTTTATTGCTTATTTAAAGAGTAGCTAGGAAGTCCAGATTATTATTCCCTGTTTTACTAAACAAATTCATTCAAGCAAAACACAAGTAATGGGATATATATTTTACCATACTAAGATTTCTTACAAAACAATTGTATTTCTTTTATATATGTGCATATAACTGTCCCAGAACTACTTGTAGAAAAGACTATCCTTTTTTCCACTCAATTGTCTTGCAATAGTTATACTGCTTTTAAGTCTATGTGTTTATAAAGTATTTTCCGTAATTGCTGTTTGTGTTATATGTGTGAGATGTATCACAGTTAGTACACTGTCATACAAGTATCAACAGTTTTTACTTTGAGTAAAATATGGACGCCTTATTTCCATTTCACTTCCTTTATCTTTTCTGTAGTTAGTTTTTGTTAACAGGGTCTTGCTATTCTAGTCTAGCCTTGAACTCTATATGTAGCCTAGGCTGATCTCAAATTATTGATCCTCTTGCCTCAACTTCCTTAGTGTTGTGATTACAGGCATGTGCAACTACAACTAGCTCCTTTCCTACTTTTAAATATTATTTCTTTGTGTATCACATAGCATTGTAATTTTTATTGCAATAATCAAATATCATTTGTAAGACTCATGAAGGTAATCCATTGACTATACTCCTAACTCTGTTTTCTTTTTTCCCAATGTTCCAAGATTTATTTTCAAATAAAGTCCACAGTTGAAATTGATGTTCTCCTTAAGATATATATCTCTGTATGCACATCTGACTGCTTTCAAGATTTCTTTTTCATATTGGCTTTCAGAAGTTTAGTTATGATAGTCAATGCATGAAATTCTTTGGGTTTATTCTATTTGGGGTTTTCTAAGATTCTTAAATCTATTGATTTATATCTCACAGGATATTTGAGAACTTTTCAAATTTTTTTCCTTCTAGTTCTTGTTTAATCCACTCACTTTTTCTCTCTGTCTGGGACTCAGTTATAGGAATTTCAAATCTTTTGTTTTTCTCCCATAGGTCCCCGATACTTGATATATTTTTTCATTTTACTTTCTCTCTATTGTTCAGAATGGGTAAATTTCATGCATCTGTCCTCACACTTAATGACTTTATCTTCTGTAATCTCCACCCTAGTATTGAGTTCATCTAACAAGCTTTGTTTTATTTCTGTGATTTTTCAGTTTTATAATCTTCATTTTGTTCTTTTTTTACAATATCCATTTCTTTGCTGATGTTTTATATGTTTATTTGTTGAGAGAATTTTAAATTTCTTATAGAATAATTTTTATGATGATTGCTTTAAATTCCTTGCCTGAAATTCTATCATCTGATTCACCTCAGTGCAAGCATCATTTCATGGTTTTGGATCATTCAAATTGTGACTAGCCTAGTTCTCGTTTTGCATGGTGCTTTAGAAAATTGTATCCTGTCCCATTTGGCTATGAGTTTAGAGTCCCTGGGTCCTAGGTAAATCTTGTATTTTAGAAGGCAGCCACTAGCATATCCTAGCCTAACTTTGTAGCTTGTAGTTACAGTAACAATTTAATTATCAAGAGTTTTTGAAATACAGTTTTGGTCTGTGTGGTATATCTGCTGTTGCTGTGACTCCCACTGATCCCTGTGAGTGTTGTGTGAGGGAGCAGAGGGACCATCCCCAGGTTGATAATCTTATACTTCCAGGTGGATGAAGGAAGTATGTGAGTTTGGGTAGAAAAGGTTCCTCATGGCAAACTTTGTTGCAAAGGGATGTTGCCTCCTTTTGTCCATTAAAATAGGCTGATCTGCCTGTTGTCTCCAAACAAGAGAAAGATCTCAGTCCCATGTTGATATAAAGGCTTCCAGGATAAGTTACTATAGAGGCAGATTCCTTCCTGCTTGTGCCACTCAGTTTCCCTTGAATCTTCAGTGGGGAAGGAGAACCTCAAATTTGGCAGCGAAGGACAGTGCTTCCCTGACCATTTACTCCTAGTGAGGCTCCTGGTTTGTGTCTGTGTTGATTCTCCTGCTGTTGTTGGAGGAGCTCCTGTTAGTAGGAAAAAATGAACCTGGGCCATCTTCTCTAGTTTGAGTTTGGGAAATGCCACACCTAGGTTGCCTTATTCTTCTGGGAAGGGGGATCCTTACAAGGCACCCTGCTGCTATTGTACTTCTCCAGTTTCCAGGCTCCTAACCATTCCAGGTTCCTCTTACACTTTGAACAGTTTTCCTTTGGATGACTCTTCCTTTATTCAGTTTATAGTTGTATTTTGTGGGAGAAGCAGAAGAAATTAATCTGTGCCATATTTTCCCAAACAAAAGTGGCAGATGATTTATTTATTAAAACAGGCAAATGATACTTTTATGGTAGAGAAACCTGGCAGACACCACCTTATTCAAGTTGATCTAATGAACATCAACAATAATAGGGAAACTGACATTATGTATCTTCTGATATGATACAGTGAAGAAGTACATAATATCATCTATGAAGACCTTTTTCCAAAAAAATGTTTAATCTGAATTTATACAGGAAAGAATCAGATAAAAGCAGATATGGCACCATTTTTCAGGAAAGTGGCATGAATAATGCCAATGTCTTGGAAAAGGCCTGAGACAATTAAATTCTACAAATGAATAGTATTAGTATTACAAAGGAATAGTATTTATTGAATAGTAGCTTTAAAAGAAGTAAACACAAATATAAACAAGCAAAAATTCATAAATGATCTTATTGGGAAAAGAAAAATTTAGCAATGAACTCTGAAATAACTTTCTGGTATCACTGTTAAATGCTTTGTTATATATTATGATCACTTATTTATCACTTTAGCTTTTGATTAGAATAAAAAACACACACATGCACATATTGCTTTGAGAGTCAAATGAACAAAGTCTATTAATATGACAAATAACTTTAGCCAAGTTACTTATTTTAGCTTTTCTTGTTTTTTTTAATATGTAATGTAGATTATAGTAGTATCTACCATATAGGGTGGTGTGACAATTAAAAAAGGGCTAGTATGTGTAGCAGAGTGGCAAACACCTGTATTTATGTGTCTGTTGATTAAATCAGTTATATTTTCCTTTATGATTTTATGCATTTTTATATTGTAAACTTAAAAGATAACAAAATATTTATTTAATAATATTCTATACTTAACAAAATGTGCTTTTTGCTTTACTGTAAAAAGACAAGCTACAGTTCTTTGGCAATTTTCCCTTTTAGTAGTAAATAATAATTCCCAAAGTATTACTGTTTGAAGAAGGTATTTTATGAAGATTCTAACAATGCCTATTTCCTATGTACCTATACACACACACACACACACACACACACATATATATATAAAATGGTTAGAAATTACATGTTTCATGTAAGTTATTATCTACTCTATCTTGAAGATGTTATTTTATATGAATATGCATAATTGCAATGTTTACTCCTGTGCTTATAAAATATGTAATTATATTTTAAAGGTCAACAATGATCAAGGTTCAAAACATGCCTATTTACAAAAAAGCACATCTATCCAAATGTAAACTTAAATTTTGATTCCAGGCCCACAGCTGATTTTCTTGAGTCCTTGGTGGTGAATGTACTCCTCCTCATAAACCTTATATTACAAAACAGCCACAGGAAGGCCTGAGGCCTGACTCTGTTACTGAAGACATCAGTATTTCCACATCATTATGTATCAGTATTTGTCATTTAGTAGGTAAAATAAATCTACAGTGCTCAGGTTTTGCTATTGTTAATTAAGCAAATAATTTTGGTCCTTAGGGTGTCTTGAGTTTCACAATTACAGATAAGTACTGTGAGGAAAACATGTGAATAAAGAACTGAGAGATGAGATTTCAAAGCTGCTACTGCAAGGTCAAGTGGGATGGGAACTTAGACTTTATGGAGTCTGAAGGCACAAGTCATGTCACTGGAATGACACCAGGCAACACTGGCAGGAGCCTACCTAGTAATGGTGATAAGGGTAGTTTCAGTACACAGTGGGAATAACCTTTTATTTGGAAAAGACAGCTAGGAGAGGAGACAGTGAACATAAGATAACACTTGGGAGGAGCTCGGCTGTAAAGATAATGAAAGAGAGTAGAAACAGCTGCAGGCTAGAGTGGCTGCCTTTGTGTGTTGGGGGGCGGTACTGTGGATTGAATCTCAGGTCTTTGCACTGCACTACATCCTCAACACTTCTTTATTTTTTATTTTGAGACAGGGTCTCACCAAGTCCCTAAATTTTCCAGGCTGGGCTTAAACTTGTGATCTCAGGTGTGAGTCACTATGCTTGGCTGAGGCTGCCTCTTTTATAGAGAAGCCTGTGCTTTGATGCTGATCGGGATGATCTAGAAGAAGAAATGGTGCCAGGAACACAGGAAAGTAATCAGTGGTCATAGATGAATGAGACTGAGGATCTAGAGCTAAGAGGGGTGATCACCTTGAGTCCTGAGCAAGGCAAGTGGTTGTCTTGACCATGGGCAGTTCACCCACAGACACAGAGGAAAGCAGAGGGTTGGAAATCGGAGTTGAGAAGGGAAGACGGGCCTCCTCACTGAGAGGAGTGGATGTGTGAACACCAGGCAAAGGCAGCAGCTTCCCTGGCTACGTACCAGTGTGTTCCTGGGGATGGTGATCAGAAGTTCACTGACATGGACCAGTGCAGCCATATGTTCTTCAGCCTTTGCTGCTTGCATCTAGCATAAGTGAATCAGATTTCAACAGGGTAGAGCTTTATAAAGAAAGTAAAACACAAAGGAAATGGGAAGTG